TAAAAAAAGACTCTTATGTATATATCGAAACAAGGGAACAAGTTTAACTTTTGCAACATCTACAGCTAATAGATCCGGAACAATCTCGCGATCTTGTCGGTGAAATGTCAAGGATAAATGTTTAGGCAAAGTAATCCCAATTGGCAACCAGTCCAAGATATTTATAAATAAAAAACAGCCTGGCAAGTCGTCGATTGTGATTATTTTTCCCGCGGTTTTTGGATGTCAAGTTCGATTTCATTAGATATTTATTGTAGAAAATCATCATCGATTAGAATTAGAATTAAACGGACTCAGAAATTTGTTGACGAATTTACAATTGGAATCAAAGTGTTAAGGATACATGCAAATCGAGTCAGGCATTCTTTTCCAGAGACAAATATTTTGAGATTTTTTATCAAAAATGCTAAAAGCGAAAAGACCTCTTTTGGATCACAAACATTAATATGTCTCAAGAAAAAAAAAAACAAAGTAAAGAAATGTGTATAAAATTGTAATGTGAGATTAGATCAATCTGCCTATCATAATAAAATCAACAAAGTGATTAGAAATGTCTCTATTCGCGTAATTAAAGCTTGAGTAAAGACTATCAGATCTTACTTTTTTAACGAGATTATTGTGTTTTTCGCGACAAAAATCTCGAAATACACAATGAAGTTTGAGGTTAAGTTTAGCTCTTTCGGAATAGATTATAAAAGTTGCTGCAATACTGCTTTATGTCTAGCAATAGTTGCCTTCTTTCAATCAGAAAATTATCACTCAGTCATAGAAAAGAGAGGGAAAAGCGTGAGATAACGGAAATATCAATGAAAACTGAAGTTAGGTTAGATCATCTACACGTGCGATTTCGGCCAAGAGATTCAGGTCATAGGAGGTCTGGCTGCCAAACGTCAAACATTCGAAAGCATCGAAATTATATTTTTCAGTGATCCGAAGAGATTCGCGATTCCATTCGATCGGCGATCTGAAGGATCTCAGCCGCGAGATGAAGGAAATCAAAGAGAACCGCGCGAGATTTGAGGTTAGGCGCGCCACGGCGCGTACTCCGACAGACTCGCCGCACGCGCATGCTCCCGTGACGTAACGGTACAGAGTGATATACGGCGAGGAGGGGGGAGCGAGCGAGAGAGAGCGGTTGGCAGTACTGTTCCGTCTGTTTGCGGATGACTGTCAAAACCTACTTCCGCGGGCAGTGAGAGCGAGATCGCCGTCGCCGTCGTCGTCGCCGTCGCCGCTGTCGTCGTCGTCGTCGTATTCGCGGAGCAGTTCGCCAGCATCGGAGGGGCCAGGCGGAGCGGCAGCACGCCGTGGAGCGCCCCGTAGACGATGTGACGCGGTGACCAGCGGTGACAGCGACTCGCGCTTCTCGTGTCTTCTACCATCGTGCTTCATCGAGACGAGAGAAAGAGAGAGGAAGTACAAAGCGAGAGCGAGAGAGGGACTTCGCGCCGTTGTCTTTCTCCTCGATATACATACGTTCCGTGCTCCGATTCTCCGTCGTCATTACCATCATCATCGGATAATTCCGAAGGAAGGAAGGAAAGAAGGAAAAGAGAAAGGGAGAGAAAGAGAGAGAGAGAGAGAGAGCGTCGCGTTCGCGAGATTGATCGTGCGCGTACGTGTGCGTGCGAGTGAGAACTTATAACCTGCCTACCTGTTCCCGCGAACGCGCGAGCGGTACGCTCTGAAAGCCGCATGCTCGTTGGTGCATGAATAGTACATGAGTCTACTGGACGGTGCCGATCTGAGGAATCTCTCATGGAGGATAGTCGAGTGTGACGCTAGTTGGCGACGTGCGGGATTCCACAAGGTGGCTCGTGGGATAACATCCAAGGTTACCAATTCAACCGTCTAGAGGTAGTCGCGCGTCTCTCTCGATCGTTTTCGAAAAAGTAATACAAGTCTCGCGATTTCGAAAATTTTCCGTTTGTCTCTCACGTTTGTGTCGCGGCCTCCCTCCCCCCCCTCCCCTCGAAGTAGAAGAATAGGCGCTTCTCTCGGCGCTTCCGTAGGTAGATAGGTTAGGTCTATTCGGGGACGCGAAGAAGGGATACGAGAGATCGGTCACGCGGTTCCGCGTGTTCCCCAATTTCGAGAAGTGCGGCCAAAAAGAGCGAGCGACGCTCGAACGTTCCAATTTTGAATATTCAAAGCGCCTATTAACATTCTGTTTTCGAAGTCGTGAATGAAGCTACATTATGCTCGATGTAGAAGAGTGACACACGCGCGCGAAAAGTGCGGCTAAAGAAAGTAGACTCGCAGTTACATTGCATTTGAATACTCAAGTATTCCAAATGTCCTCTTTTTCATGTTATACTTTGACTATTTTTGACCTTTCTCTACTTATGTGTATGTATGAGCGTGATTCTTATATTTGAGCTAGTATTTAATCAGCTCTCATATTTAAGATTGTTTTAAATACATATAAATAGGTATAAGCCAATCAGAAGACTATATTTGCATCTTAAAACATTTTATTTAAGATTGTTGTGAAATAAGGATGGACGGATGAATATCAGCTTTAGATCTGTTTTTTCGGTTTAAATGCGACTAAAGTTAAATATAAGCTAAAAAGAGAAGAAAGAAGAAACAAAATGCAACAAAATGTGACTAAAATTAATGCAATCTGTCAGTCAATATTTTTTTCTTCATTTTATTTCTTCTTTCTCTTTGTAATAGTATTTTTCAAAATATTAATTGAATCAACTTGAAATTTATTCTAATTGCATTTTTTATATTCTCTTATCGTTTTTCTTTTTATAATTTTATACACTTTTTATATCTTTAATTTTTCTTTCTATATTCAGATAATTGTTTTCATTCTATGTGTTAAAAATGTAAGAAACCTACATGTATGTGTATATGTATTTCATACTACATACATTTTATAATATATATTTTATATAAATGTTACTTATTTTTCTTTCAGATTCTTCCATCAATGTTTACATTAGCAGATCTCTAGCGACTTTGTTTCATCACAATTAGGCATAATGCTGATCACGTAACATAAACTGGGCAAGAAAACAAATTTAGATACAAATCTCTCAATAGATCATGCACTGCGCGGCATAAAAAATTCAATTAGGATATTTAGAATATTTAATGTTTAATATATATCTCGGCGTCATCTTTCAACTGAATATTTTCTTCCGTATCAAAAAGTATTGCATCTCTTGCAACGAGATCAAAACCTCAATCGATTAATTCCTCCATCCGTTGAAGATGACCAGCAGACTCGAAGAAACAGAACAGAAATGGACTTGCGAGTATTGCACTTATGAGAACTGGCCTTCGTCTTTAAAATGCACCATGTGCAGAGGTGCCAAGCCTCTTCTGGGCGAAGATATCTATCGTCTTCGAGATCCCAGTCCTCAAAGAGGTTCCTCCAATGTCGCTTCCGGTCCCGTGTCCCAGATAAGTCCTGATAACTTTACCTCGCAAAATTACAGTCAAAACCTGCCTTCGGCGGGAAAGTGGGCCTGCAGTATGTGCACTTATCTCAACTATCAGAATACGACGCGATGTGTACAATGCAGCAATCGGAAACCGGTCAATCAATCTGTCAATTCGTTAGCATCGAATCTACACGAACATTTAGCACCGCTGCGACTCGCCGATGGACCTCTAAACTCAGGATCGAATTCCCAGTTGAATCCCTCGCCGATTAATCTCCATCCGGAAAGATTGTACAATATGCATCCGGAAAAATGGTCTTGTCACGTGTGTACTTATGAAAATTGGCCCAAGGCAACTAAATGCGTTATGTGTGGTCATCCGAAGGAGAAAGACAAAAGGGATAAGGGAACGCAAGGAAATGTAGGAGTAATTTTACCGAGTCCTGAGAGGGAACATAGTCAACGGGGCTTACCATCGCCACCACATGCACCCTATATTCATCAGACGCAAAGGGAGGATAATTTAGCAATAGGAAGGAGGTGACTATTAAATTATATTTTATATCTTTTAAATATGAAATGAATGTGATAATGTTAACTAATATTTACGTAATAAAAAATATATAATGTTTAGAGATTGTGTACTCAAATATTTAGAGAAAATATTTAATTTTAACGATTTTAAATTAATTACACAATGTTTGACTATATTTCCAATAAATATTTTTTGTTAATATGTTGTAACGCATATTTGTAAATATTTATTTTTAATATTAATTTTTACAGAGGTCCACATAGGTATGCAGAGAGTAGGAACGATAGTTTGTCAACTCCTCAATCTCCGAATAACTGTGATTATGAGCGTCGATTGAAGCAATTAAGACGCCATACCGATTGGTGTTGGCTAAATGCTTGTCTTGGTATTGTCGAAGGTGACAACACTCCTGTTGAAGCTTATCTGGCAAGCGGCGGTGATCCCGCCCGCCAATTGACGCATTCTGAGGTTTTACTCCTCAATAGAAGTAGCGCGTTTGACGTTGGGCATACCTTGGTGCACTTGGCTATTAGGTAAATATGAATAATTTAAATAAATACTTTAATAAAAATGATATTAGATAAAATAAAATTTTTAACATTCATAAATTAAGACTTTTAATTTCCGGATTGTCGCAGATTTCAAAGAGAAGATATTTTAGCAACATTACTATCACAAATTGAAGGTTCAGGGTCGGGGGTGAAAAGGGTACCGAGCTACGTTGCACCGGATCTTGCAGTACAGATTCGTCGACATGTTACCAACAGCATACGTTTACGCAAAGGCTCATTTCCTTGTTATTTCGTCACCGACATGGCCACCTTCGCATTGCCAGCCGAGGTTATTGTGACATATATTATGATTTACTATAAATTAAATAAAAAGTAAAACCTTTAATCTATTAACAACTAATATTTTAGGTAATAAATAATTCTCTAAAAAATGTTTAACTTTTATTTAGAATATATTTTTATAATTTAGTCAAAAGATTATGTGGTATAAGTTGTATTTTTATATTTGAAATTTGATGTAAAATTTCAGGTTGAAGATCTGCCGAGCATTGTACAAGAGCAAATGCTAGAGGAATTGTTAGATAAGGAAGCTCAACAGCAATTGGAGGGCGGTGGTGGTGAACCGCCAGCTCTAAATTGGTCCTTAGAAATTACTGAACGGTTAGGTAGTCGTTTGCATGCGCTCTGGAACCGATCGGCCGGAGATTGTCTTTTGGACTCTGCTATGCAAGCCACTTGGGGTGTTTTTGATAGAGATAATGCTCTGAGGAGGGCGCTTGCCGATACTCTACAACAAGCTGGACAATTGTAAGATATGCTATTAAATAATATATGACAGTTTTATATTTTAATATAGATTATCAAGTTTGATTAATATGTTAAATTTAATATGTTAAAACTTTATATATATATATATATATATATATATATATATATATATATATATATATATATATATCTATATAACTTTATATTATAACTTTAAATAGTAATGAATAATGATTAATAATACAGTTCAACATAAAATGATTTTTTTTGAACACTAAAAACAAGACGAGTCATTTTCCGTAGTTTTTAGATGCTGCATCCGAATCTGATTGTAAAATTGCTTTATTACGTCACAATTTTGCAGTTAAAGTTGCAAAAAAGTATTTTTATGAGTGCTTTTCTTTTCATATTAAAAGAAATGAAAGAATATTAAGTTAATGAAGATTATTATTTTTTTTTAATTATTTGATCAGACTGAACTTCAAGTGTTATATATAAAATATTATATTTTTTTATATTTATTTTATATTTATTATTATATTTTTTCAGCTTTTATCCTCGTTGGAGAGAATATGAAGCCTCACAAGCATCTAGGATGTTAGATTTCACTTTAGAAGAGACACAGTGGCAAGAAGACTGGGAAAGCTTGCTAGCGACGGCTGCTCAACCCGGAAGCGCATTAGAACAATTGCATGTGTTTGCCCTTGCCCATATTTTAAGACGACCCATTATAGTCTATGGAGTTAAATATGTTAAAAGTTTTCGCGGTGAAGACATAGGTAAATAAAAAAATACTTTATTTTTAATCGTTTATTAATTATTAATTATTTTTTATGCTTAAACTTAAGAATAATTTTATAGTTGTTTATTAACTTATTTTTTTAAAGTCTACATCTGTCAAATTTTCAATTTTTTTTTATTGAATATGTGAAATTGTAATTTTAATTTTTTATTTAATATTTAATACAATTATTTTCTTAAATTATACTACAAAATATTTATTATAATATTTGTTTCTTGCTTTTTTGAAGTTTTAAAGATTCTTTTAAAGTTTTTTTTTAATGATTTTAAATGGAATTTTTTTCAAATCTTAACAATTTTTAGGATTATATCGTATAATTTTTTTTTCATTTTCGCAGGTTATGCAAGATTTGAGGGCGTGTATCTACCATTATTATGGGAACCCTCATTTTGCATCCGTTCGCCAATTGCTTTGGGATATACTCGCGGTCATTTTACGGCGTTGGTTCCTATTGAGCCCTACGCATCGTCCAGAATACCGCCTCTCGCGTCCCATGGAGTAGTGAGTGGCAACAATAGTCCACTCGAACAGTTACAGATCCAGATGCAGACAACTTTTATGCCACTAATGGATCGCGAACATAAGCTCCTGCCTATACACTTTCTCACAGCGGATGAAATTGGTCGCGAAGAATCTATCTACAAAGAGTGGTTGGATGTATGCAGAACTGAGGGTGGGATTCTTGTAGCGCAGCAAAAACTTCATAAGAGACCATTACTTGTTGCGCAAATGTTGGAAGAATGGTTAAATCATTATCGTAGATTAGCGTGAGTAATTTGTAATTTTCTTATTAATTTGTTAAAGAGTCATATCTGTAATATTAAATAATTCATATAAAAGAATAATTTTAATATAAAAAAATATAAAATGATTAATATTACAATATGGGTCATAATGAATAATAATATTTCATTATAATTTTTTTTTCTTGAACATTGCAGTCAAACCAACGAAGCGCCCTTCTCGAGACCACCCACATTACAGGACTATAGCAGCGATGGCGATACCGAAGATGAGTAAAATAGTACTTTTAAGAGAAATGTTGCGACTGACATGAGAGACATCTCCGTTCTCGCAAATTTATTCTCGACCGGAAATATAAAATGGTTAGTATTATTAAACGAAAATTATATATGAGATGCCGTACTTTCATAAGTAATTCGATACAGAATAACTACTACGTCCACTACACTGGCAATGTACCGCTTAAAAAATTGGAAATGCTATCACATCACTATAAATTACCGTGCGAGCACAAAAATTGTAAAGTTTGAATTAGGATGTGAACTATCTCTCAAACTTAATTATTATATATGATTAATAGTAAAAGGGCAATTGATTAATTATTATATTTTTGCCGTTATTGTGAAACGTTTTTTTATAATTAAATTATTATAAATTGTTTGTCACAAATTTTTAGTTATGATACAGTAAAACAGTGTCAGTTGAAAAAAAATTTGCTATAAAAATTATCTTTATTAAAGATTGTTTAGTTTATGCAATTTAAGCGCAACAATTTTTTTATTGTGGTGGAACATAGATAGAAAATAAAAGTTTAATTTTTGGAGGAAAAAAGAATTGTTGACTATATCACATACAAGTATGAAGAGATGTTTAAACAAAAAGTATAAATTATACAATTCATTGCCAGTGACGATGAGCGAAAGTGGGAAATATTGTCGTTTGTTACACATTGTCGAATCGTTTTGCATAATAATAGAAATTTAATTGTTAGGCTATTGAAAATAACATTTTTTCACAAATAGTTTGTAAAAATATATAGTCTCGGACGAGGAAAAGAATTTGAAACTTCCTCTTTCGCAAAATATTGCGGGATTTTGCAAAATATTTGCGAAAATTTCGAATAAATTTTTAACCGTTCGTTTGTCATGTTCCATTATAAAGACGAACGGAATGTGTAATTTAATGGCAGACTTTTTGTCGATTTCTTTCTCTAAAAAAGGAAGATTTTTATATATGTGATATCAATACTATTTTTGAGATATATTTAAAAATTAATTGTGTGTGTGTGTGCGTGCGTGCGTGTGTGTGTGTGTGTGTGTGTGTGTGTGTGTGTGTGTGTGTGTGTGTGTGTGTGTGTGTGTGTGTGTGTGGTGTGGTGTGGTGTGGTGTGGTGTGATATCATATATGTATATATGTGTGTATATATGTGTATATATACATATATATATATATAAATTATTAAAATTTTTTATTTTTAATTTAAAAATTATTAATTATTAAATAAATGATTGATTCAACTAAGAATAAAATTTTTGTAAATTAATACTAGATATAGCAACATTTTTTTTCTTAGATTTAATTTGTCTTCAATAAATTCGAGTATAAATTTATCATTCAATTTAATATATTTTGTATTAAATAAAAATATTAAATTTCAATACCGTAACTTTTTCTTAACTACAAAAATCTGCCATTAAACGTGGACATGGAATATCTTGTATAATAATACGAATTCCGATATATCCGAGATATATATATATCTTGGATATATATCCGAGATGCGACCTTTAAAAATAATCTAGAAAATTAACAAATTCCGTGTATAATTGTCTTTAAGTCGTTTCACTTGTTATAACTTAAAGCTGCATTAAACAGTTTCAAGCAGCCGAACACAAACGAACAACGATCTGTCCCTTTTTAATGATCGAAATCGCGCGGATTTAAAGCGTTTATCTCCTGATGTGTTAATAGGAAAAAAATATAATTAATGGACTTGTGAAAAACTGTGCATTGTGCTGTGTAAAGAAAAAAATGTGGTTTTATTTTTATGCGAAGAATCTAATATATCATTATTTATGATGACAATATATTAAATTCTTTGTGTAAGTGTGGTTCACAATTGTGTTAAATATTAGATAACACTATACGAACTTTTATAAGAAGCGATGAAAAAGAAATTAAAGAGATGAGTAGTACGTACATTTAAGCGTTAGGAATTATTATTGAATACCTAATACACACTTGCACTCATTCACTCACACGACGCATTCTAACGAATGAACAAGCGATTGTAACAAATCTTTAATCAAAAAAGTACAAAAAATCGCTAGACATATTTCTTCTTCGTTTTTTCGACGTAATAATGATTTGTTTCTTACTACTTAATTCCGATAACAATAATAACAACAACAATGTAGTGTCTAGTCCTTTTCCATATAGCACCACATCGCGTTTTTCTTTTTCTTTAATCAGAAATTAATTATCGCGTCATCGGAAACCATGTAATAAAAATTAGCAAAAAAGGTTTGAAAGAAAGAATCGAAACTAGATTGAGAAACCGGTGTAATTTATTGAATATCGGATTTATCAATTTTTGAGATAAATCTTGGAATTAATGTCAAAAAACTTTAAGATATAAAATATAAAATGTAAAATATTGAACATACACGACACATATGATGAGATCGAAAAAGGTTGTATTATTAATTTTGATTTTTTTATTATATTTATTATATATATTTATGTGTGTATGTGTGTATATATATATATATGCGCGCGCGCGCGCGCACGCGCACACACACACACCACACACACACACACAACACATTTTTTATGTGAAGTGTCATCCCTTTTTCCAATTATATCATCACTTAATTCCTTCATCTCCTATATATTGTACATTAAAAAATTAAGAGAAAAGGAAAAATGATTTTAAACAAATCACGAAGGAATTCGCAATTTGTGAAGACCAAATCCGAAATATAGCGCAGAATATTGAAACATAAAATTGTATATAGATCTGTATGAATTTTTCAGGAACATTTCATGGTTTTATTTTAAATCGTGTTAAAAAAATGTATATTATTACAATATCAAAAATAAAGCCAAAAAATGTTTCTGTAAATAACTTATTGCTTCAACATTCTGTGTTATGTTCAAATCTAGGCTTATTTTGCTTAGTTATTAATCTATGAATCATTGTTTTGAATTTAGTTTTTAATTGATTTATAAAAAATCAAAGGAGTCATTTTATTCTTATTTAAATTACAAAGTTATTTAACTAAATTAATTTATATTATATTAATTCTTTATTCACAAATGAATGATAAACTTTATGTAAATAAATTTATTATTTTGCTATTCCAGAAATAACTTTTTTATGAAGGTTATTTTTAATTTTCGATTTAATTCATTGAAATTATATCGGTTTCTAGATCCTTAATTATCGAAGATAACAGGTGTAAATTAATTCCGCAGTGTCCTGTCTGCGAAGGCGACAGAAGCGAGCCTTATCATTATAATTGTTAAATAATATGTATCGATGATCTTTATTGTTATAATCATTATTGCGATTATCGATATGGTAAAAGTATCAGCCGTGATTTTTACGATCCATTTTAAATATAAAATTATATTTTTAGAATGAGGATTTTGCAAATTATCTTAAGTTATTCTTACTGTAAATTTTTTTAAACAAAAAGGTGATAATGTGAGCTTCTGCGTAACAAAAAAAAATGGAAGAAGCTTTCTCCTCATTAATTTTCGGTATTAATTGTTATTAATAAAAACCTGCTGTTTTTAATATGTCATTGATGAACGTAGCAATTATCTTGATTTGATTTATAATTATTTAATAATTGAAGACTTATTTTAATTATTTAAATTAAATTTTATGATAAATTATATTAATAATTAATATCGAAAATTATTTCTGAGATTAATTCTCAGATTAATTCTTTATAAACACAATAAGTCTTTTCGGCAAAATAGGAAAAATATGTTAAAAGAATTAAATAATGATGTTCGATGAAGGTGTGTTTTCTTTTTAAACAAGTATAGTCTTTTCGATTTCTTATTGCCAGAATTTACTTCGGCAAGTGATAAAATATAGAGGGTTTTAAAAATTTATTCTCTAATCGGAAAACAGAATAGAAAAGTCTATAAATCTGTAAAAATCTATAAATCTATAATTAATAAATCTATAAATCTATAAAAGTTTATAAATATATAAATATTAATATAGAGAGATATATATATATATAAATGAAATATAGATATTATATAATATATCGCGCGATGTACAATAATTCGAAATAACGATTTATTATTATTATTATTATTATTATTATTATTATTATTATTATTATTATTATTATTATTATTATTACAATGATTATGACAATGATTATTATAAATACTATATTAAGAAAGCATCGAGGTGTGAATCAATAAATACTGAATTACTTTATGCCATTTTTATTGTTATTAAAAAATCTTCAGTTTATCAAATGAAGACTAGTTTTGAGTAATGATTAATGCTTTAATTGAGTACTTATTCTTTTGAAATAATTTAAATGAAATGAGAATGAAAAATTTAAGTGTTTTAGATAATTTAAAATATTTTTTCAATATTTTCTACTACAGAGATACTATTGATTTCATATTTACAAAATAATTACAAAAAATGTATTTTTTCATATTATTTAAATCACTATATCACTTTTCAATTAAATTTAGATTAAGCAAATTTCTTTTTTTGAAAAATATATATTTTCTCCTTTTCTAAAAGAAAATGAGAATTTATTGTGCTATAATTATAAAAACTTTTTAATTAAGTTACAATTGTTCTAGTCTTGTTAATATCAGAATAATTTCATATTTAATTATCTACTTAATAAAATAACGAGTAAAAAAAGAGTACTTCCAATTTTATTTAATTCTAAAAATAAAATATTAGCTATAAAAATTCATTCCTTATGAAGTTCTTTCTTAAGTATGCCTTAAACATAAAATTAACTTTATTTTATATATTTTGTTATTTGGAACTTAATTTTCAAATTAAGTTAATATGCTTAAACATAATAAATAAAAAATTTATTATACGACGATAGCTGTAAATCTTCATCAAGAAATTTGCAAAGCTAAGATCCAAGGATGAAGGTACGGTAGGTCCAAGGTATTAAAAAAAAAGAAAGTCCTAATCATTATTATTCAATATTATCATTAAAATTGTTTAACTATTATAGTGGAAAATTAGTTTATATTTTTATATTTTTAATTATCAATTAATATTTCTTTTGAAAATTTCTAAACATAAAATTATCTATCTTCTATATTTCTGTGCAAACAAAGTTGTGTGAATCTGAGATAGCTCTTGTAACAATACTCTTTCTGCAATATGAGATAGCGAAGTCATTCGTCTGTAACAGCATCAGTCTGACTATGTCTAGTTTCAGATTGCATAAACAGTAATATCAGTCGAATGAATGTGTTGTTTGTGAGTAATTTATTGTGTACAATTTATTTTATCAAGGTTCTATGATAACTAAGGGAATAATCTAATTTACTGTGTGACAAATAACTTTGTGTATGTATATGACGAAAAAT